GGGTGCGGGGCTGGCTGCAGGCAGGGCAGGGGGTGTGGGGCTGGCTGGCTTGGGGCATGGGGGTGATGCAGGGGTTGGATGGAGGTCGGGGTGCGGGGCTGGCTGCAGGCAGGGCAGGGGGTGTGGGGCTGGCTGGCTTGGGGCATGGGGGTGATGCAGGGGTTGGATGGAGGTCGGGGTGCGGGGCTGGCTGCAGGCAGGGCAGGGGGTGTGGGGCTGGCTGAGGGCAGGGTGGCAGGTACCAGGGCCATCCCTAGATACTTTTGAGCTCTACGCAGCCCCCCCATGTGGAGGGGTGCCCCAGGCCTCTGTGGGGGAGGCGAGAGCGGGGGGGGGCTGGCTTCCATGGGGGGTCAGGCCCCCGAGGGGTCAGGGCTGGCTTAGGGGCAAGGGGGAACGACCCCCCAGCACTCACCGGCGGCGTGGCTGGGGCCATGTCTCTACTTCCTGCAGCCCTGGCCCTGCTGCAGAGCTCAGGGGAGTGGGGGCAGGGCGGGGCTGAGCAGGGGCTGGGCCCTGGGGAAGAGCCAGAGCAGCAGGGAGCAGCGCAGCGCCCCCAGCGGCTGGAGGAGGAATGACATCACTTCCCGGCCGGCCGGAGCTGATCAAAGAGGGTTACACATTTAGCCGGCACCAGGTGAGCATCTCAGACATTTTGGGCACCGCTTTTTGGCGCCCTCAAATCTTGGCGCCCTAGGCGGCTGCCTAGTTTGCCTAGTGGATGCACCGGCCCTGCTTGGGAGGGAGATATTCTCGGGAGGAGATAGACAGAGTTTCCCAAATAACTCAAATAATTTGGGTGGTGGCAGCAAAACCAGATCTAAGCTGGTAGTTAAACTTAGAGGTTCTCATGCAGGTCCCCACATCTGTACCCTAGAGTTCAGAGTGGGGAAGGAACCTTGACACCAGGCCAGGCTCCTGCAGCTCTCCTGCCATAACTCTGGTGTTCAGCTACCCATTGCCAGGCAGGGGCTCAGCAGCCCAGCAACACCCAAGCAGTGGGTGATGCTCCAAGCAAGAGGAGTGGCCTGGGCATGCCATGATTCAGCAGCCACAATGTCAACCAATCCCCCTTGGCAAAGGGCTGGCGGGGAGGGTGCTGAGGCAGTGGCAGCCAAAGAGAGATCAGCTCATCTCTGGGGGGGAATATGGGCCAGCCAGCAAGGAGGTCTTCCCAGTGGGGCCGTGACCTCCCTGCAGGTTCGGTACTCCAGTGGCTTGTTGGTCACATGCTCTGGGCAGTCCCATCTCTCACTCCCAGCTCTCCCAGGCAGGGACTGTTATTAAGTTCCGTGCAGTGCCCACACCACAGGGACCAGCCTGCCCTGTCCGACTTCTGCTGTACCCTTGCGAACGGCAACGTGGGGCGCGAATGTTGGTGATAGCAGGGCTGGGGGAGCCGGCCTGGACACTGAGCAGCCTAGGGCAATGGCTGCCTGGCTGCCATATCCAGGAGATGGCATGGGGCAGGGTCTGGTTCCCAAGGAAGGGAGTGATGGGCCGAGCCTCTCCCACACTTTATTCTTCCCACTGGGACAAGGGCCTCTAAAATGGCCCATCCACTCCCGGCCTGGGGGACACTGCCCTGTTCAAGCTACCTTCGCCCTGCCAACCTCATCATACAGCAAACGCACCACACCTCAGGCCTTTTGCTCTCCAATGCACTGAGACTGATGGCACATGGAAAATGAGCCTGTGCGTTCTGGTACTAGCAGAAAGCTTGCACACAGCTTTAAGGACGGGCACACTTTTCTCAGGAACAGCAGGGGACTGTGGGTCGGGAATGAGGGGCACCGGCAGAGCTGGGGGAGGGGGGAGCCCAGGGCTGAAATAGCAGAGGGCTGTGGGTTGGGAGAGAGAGGCACTGGCAGAGCTGGGGTAGGGGGGATCCCAGGGCTGGGCTAGCACAGGCTGCGGGTTGGGGCTGGGCTAGCCGGTGGCTGCAAGGCAGGTGTTTGAGAGGCACCGGCAGAGCTGGGGGAGGAAGCTTGCTGTGTGCCTGACCCTGCTGATGGGCATTAATTTCATGAGCACTAAATTTCCACATAATCCAATCTGCAAAAGGCAAAAAGCAGCAGTTCCCCTCATGACTGTACCCCTGACCCCCATGTGGCTGTACCATCAGACCCCTATGTGGCTGTATCCCTAGCAGTCCCCCTTGTGGATGTACCCCCCCGAGCAGACCCCCTTGCAGCTATACCCCAAACAGACCCCCCCCCGCTTCGCGACTGTATCCCCAGCGACACTCACTGTTATACCCAGAGTCCAACGTTGCCTGCTGAATTCACTGGTTTCTTCATAGGTTTTTCCACTGCAAAGACTAGATCGCCACCTGCTTTCCCAGCCTCCTGTTGGGGGAAGAGGGTGGGTTGGGGCAGAGAGGAGGCCGGCAGCTAATGAAAGGCAGCCCCAGGCAATTCCCGCCTGAGCAGGGTAGTGCAGTCAGTAAATAGCAGGTGGGCTACTGGGCAGGAGAGAGGATAGGAGGTCAGTGCAGTGTGCAGGGGCTGGGGAGTGGGTGGAGAATGACGGGGCACACGGTAGGTGACTGCTAGTGGGGTATGGAGAAAGAGTGGTTGGAGGGACAGTGACTTGTGCGAGTGGTGGGGGATAATGATGGGCTGATTCTCATCTCCCTAGTGTGACATTGCGGACATTGCTTGGGAAGCTTTCACCCATTCCCAGCATCCAGCAGACACTATAAAGCCCACACACCTAGTCCGGAGCATCAGGCAAGGCCAATACAGCAGGGCAGTAGTAGGGTAGCGAAGGCTGGGGCACCAAGGTGGATGTGTTGAACCGAGGGCTAGTTTGTCGGGGCAGTTGTGGGGTGGCGAGGCTGATGCTTTGGGGCGGTTGTGGGGAGGCGAGGGCTGGTTTGTCAGGAGAGTTGCAGGGAGACGAGGGCTGGCGTGTCTGGGCGGCTGTGGAGAGGCAAGGGCTGGTGTGTTGGGGCAGTTGTGAGGGGTGACGGCTGGCACGTCAGGGCAGCTCTGGGGAGGCGAGGGCTGGCACATAAGGGTGGATGTGGGGAGACGAGGGCTGGAGCGTTGGGGCGGTTGGGGGAGGTGAGGGTTGATGCGTCAGGGCAGCTGTGGGGTGGTGAGGGCTGGTGCTTCGGGGTGGCCGTGAGGAGGTGAAGGCTGGTGCTTCGAGGCAGCTGTGAGAATACGAGGGCTGGTGCATCAGGGCATCTGTGGGGAGGCGAGAGCTGGTGGTTCCGAGTAGTTGAGGGGAGGAGATGGCTGGTGTGTCGGGGAAGCAAGAGCTGGAGCATCAGAGCGGCTGTGGGGAGGCGAGGGATGGAACATCGGGGTGGCTGTGGGGAGGAGAGGGCTGGTGCATCAGGGCAGCTCTGGGGAAGGGAGGGCTGGTACGTAAGGCTGGATGTGGGGAGACGAGGGCTGGAGTGTTGGGGCGGTTGTGGGGAGGTGATGGCTGGCGTGTCAGGGTGGCTGTGGGGAGCAAGGGTGAGCGCATCAGGGTGGCTGTGAGGAGGCGAGAGCTTGGATGTCAGGACGGCTGTGAGGTGGCATGGGCTGGTGCGCTGGGACTGTTGTCCGGAGGTGAGCAGGAGCCTGTTCACTAGTTTTCAGATCCTTAATCACTACCAATTCCAAGGCTGGACCCTGTCTTAAAGAGATACCATCCATTTTTACTAACAAGTTAGATTTAAAGTTCTGTGGTCCTTCCCTTACCAACCTCTGCTTCCACATGGAATCAGATGTTAAGTCCACTGAGAGATTACAAGTCATATCCAAAGTGTCTAGAGATGAGAGTATACCTGCCATCCCCTGCATTCTCAAGAGATTAACTACACAGCTTTTCTGCTCTGCAGCCTTAGCTAGCCATTCTTCCCTCTGAATCTGAGACACAGACTGTTCATTCAAAAAATCTACATGGAGATATTTCTGTCCCGACAACATTGTTTTCCTAATAAATTGGTCAAGCACAGCCACTTGGTTATAGGGCTGTCCAAATTCCCTAACAATTTTCATTCCATCTGAAGCCTTCTCAGAGCTATCCACACTGGATCTTTCCAAAGCAAAATCAATGAATTCATTCTTAGCAGAAAATGTCTGCCTATCAGGAACTGAAACTTCCTTGATTAAATCACTTTCCCACTCTTCAGCTACAGTAAATTGCTTGCACAGATTACCATGAGGATTCCTTTCCCTAGGAGCTTCTCTAAGCAACAGTTTACCCCTCACAGAAATTCTGCCCTTACCCTCTTCACCTAGGGCTTGCTCTAAAGGAACACTTTCCTGAGCAACAACAGACTCTTTCTGGGTCTCACTTATATCCAGGATCATCTTTGGCTTATCAGGTGGATTCCTACACAATCCCCTTTCAGGCAAACTGCTAGATTTCATAGTCAAAAGGTTAGAAGCATTCTCCTTCCCTGTCCCACACACAAGTTTAGGAATCTTTTCCTTCTTGCTACAAGTGTTCAAACTGTCAGTAGGTAACACAAACAAATCACCTTTATGCTTTCCTTGTGCTCTGGCTAGGATATCACCCTGATCAGACAGAGTTGCTACACCCTTTTCCAGCTACACATTAGCAACAGGCAAAATACAAGCACCAGAATTGTCTGGTCTCTGGGATTTTGCTAGGACACTAACTGGATGCAACCTAGTTACAGTGTCATTCTCCCTAGCAGACACAAACTTAGGACCATTCCCTTCCTGGGCTTTAGTTGAATCCAGAACCAACTCTGAGACAACTGCACTACCCGCAACCATCACAGGCTGAAAGGCACCTTCTGTCTGCTCCACAGACAAAGAACAACTGGAGAAACCTTCCCCTTTAACAGACACACAGCTTGGGATCTCATTTTCCTTGTCCCAGCACACAGGGCTGTTCACAGACAACTGCTTGGAGACTGGGGTAGATCCCTCCATACGCAAGTCAATACCCCTAACAGACACAGGCACATTTCCTTCACTGTCACAATTCTCCACACAGGTAACAGGTAAGGTATAGGGATACTCATCTTCCACTATCCTCACCTTCCTAAACTGCTGACTAGACAAAACCATCAGCTCTCAAGGCTGCCTAGGCTCATCCAAACTTTCTTTGTTCTCCTCTCCCTTGTCCCAGCACACATGGCTGGTTACAGACAAATACTGGGATAGTGGGGCAGCTTTCTTACCAGGCACATTGCCACGCCCTACAGATAAACTGCTGCTCTTGTCACTATACTGAGCTACTTCCAGCAAATCACAGTCACCCTTTTCAGGTTTGCTTTTATAAGCTGTATTAGCCAACAATCCATCACCCATCAAAAATCTACCCTTTCCTTTCTCAGTTAGGGCTTTAACCTGACCATCCACTTGCCCATGTGACTCCAAATTCCATCTTGCTGCTGTGATTTTCCACAGTAAGAACAAAGAGGTGTTCTTCCACATGGCAGAGGACAGAAAAGGTCCTGGAAACCCCTCCATTTTGGTCTTCAATCCTGCTTCTTACCTCTGGAGGAACTTTGCTACAAACTGAAGCTCTGAACAAAGGACTGAATGACCCATCCCAGCTGTGGATGTACTCCAGAGACTTGATTT